GGTTTATATGAATATATAGATACAGATAGTTAATTTAAGAAAAGGCTTTGCAAGAAAATTTGGTTTGCCAATTAAAGTAATTTACATGTACATTGTAATCTTAATTAATAAAGTCACGATCTTTAAAAGACATAAAACTTTAATTGGGTTTCCCACCAATTTTGTGTTATTTTATCATACTCAAACTTTACTTACAACATAAGTTCAAATTCTGCTTTTCTATCAAGATCAGATAGGGACCTTTAAATTTATGTCATGGTTGCATGTTACTCTAAGGGAGGAAACTGTTATTCAGATGTCATATTAGCAGGAATATATATCTGATTGGCCATGTGTTTTAAAAGTTATACTTAATATAGGTCTTCTTTATGGTAATGCCTAAAAGGCTTACAAAATGTTCTAAAATTTATCTTTTACTCAATGACTGGAATTGCATGTTTGCTCATTTAGAATAAAAGGCAAAATTAATGGTAATTGCAAACATTTCTTACAAATATAGTTCTAACCAAGAAGTGTTCTGAGGCTTCACAGGAGTTATCTCCCTTACTCCACACAAACTGATACAATTGTGCCTTACTATTTAATCATGTATTTCATTTACGCTGTAAGTGTAAGGAAACTCATTCTGCACATTTAGTTTCATATTCATTCGTAATACCATATGTACAAATTAATTCTAGTAATCTGGCTTCCTTGCTAAAGTATCCTAAGTATGTATATATACATATACATTGTTCATCACTAGGTATGTGCTCAATTATGAAATATTTTCATTAGATTTTAAATCTATCAGGTAATACTCTTCAGAATCATTCCTATGAATATGCATTGTATTTCTACAGTATAATCATCAAAAGAGTCACATGCATATTTTTTTTAAACATTTTATTTTGTATATATAGATATGATGGCAGGGTTGCATGGAGCCCTAGGATCAGCATTCATACAATAATCCTCCAATGCAAGTACACCCTTCCTCTACACTTATTGCACACATAAACACAAAAACATTTGCAAATATATTCTCATACTCAGGTACATGTACACCAAACTTAAAAGTAACACTAACTTGATAATTAATGGACTTGGGTTTATCAGTGATTAAGGTAAATAGATCCATGAGTGAAACTTTTTCTTTAGTCAGTACAGCATGTCAAAATTTACCAGGTATGCAATAAAGAAATTATTTTATTACTGTCCATTTGTTGAAAATTCAATATTTTTATAATTTGAAACGAATGACACAGTAAACATATACCACTGCTTCGGGATATTGGATTGTTTTGCATACTGAAGGTTTAAATACATTTATCTCTACATTTTCATTCAAAAAAAAATCTGCATATAACATTCATAAGAATTATGCATATTCCTCAAATTTATGCATAGTTGTCAAAATCATGCATATTCATCAAAATTATATGCATATTGATTAATGAAGCTAAATTTATACATTTCCAGGAGAAATTGCATTCATAGAGCTATGAACTCAATTCGTTCAGCATCATTTTGAAGCTTCTCATCCCGCCTCGATCAACAAAGGACAAATATATCAAACATTTTGGTGAAAGTTAGGCTGTTCCAGGAATCTTGTTTGTGCTGACGACACATCTGACACTTTAATATAAAAAATATAAGGGAATAACTATGCTTAGGTAAAAAGAAACTAAATATTTATGCATATTCATCAAAATCATGCAATTGCATATGCAACAAAATTATATGCATAATCATAAAGATAATGTTTTGCAGTAATATTTCTCAGCGTTCATGATACAGCAGTTCTGACGGCACATTATATGATACAATATGTATATCGGCTCGGCTCATGTCCAGTGATATGAACAGATTGTGTCTGCCAGCCCTCAGACTACAATAATCCCCACAGACCTCTATACAAACAGGCCTGACAGGGGCTTCTACACACAAAGTCATCTTATCAAATATAAATCTATATCTAAACTAAAATCTGATTACTGGAATAAATCTGTAAATACCAAACAGTTAGGGTATCAGATTTCCATCACCACTTTACAGCAGTGCAATAAAGTTTTATGGAATGTTTATACCTCTTGTACAGTTATCTTTTCTTATAGGGACAATGGTTAAGGTTTCCGATACACATATAAATGTACCTACAAATACGATCTCTGTGTATACACACTGTACATATATAATGTCCAGTGACTTCCCAACAAAGTCAAACATCGGATGTTTTTATGCTTCTGTGTGTAAACTCAGCCCATTTACCATATACATGTTTACTCAAACACCTTTACCGTATTCAAACTATTAAGTGCCCAGGGCAATTGAAAAACTGCAAAAATTGTGGGAGCAGTAACAAAATATAGGATCCTACTATATAAATTAATTTCTATTTTATACAGATAAATAAGTATGACATGAGTCTGGAAGTTTTCATGTAATGAGGCTCTGCTGTGTTGAAAAGAAAACTCATATCAAACGGAATCAAATCCTTATCTTTTTTATCACAACCCCAAGAATGCATACCATTCATCTTCATGTACACAGTTTTCAAAGACACCACAGTGTCGTAACGTTTTATTTTTTGTCTTATCTCTGATATCATAAACAGTATCATTTATACACGAGGTAATCCTGTTGATCTCCCCATGCAACAAACATCTACTTTTGGTTTATGTGACAAATTGGCTGATATTGTTTTTTATTGAAACCTAATGTGGTGGATTTTTTCCATATATCCCATCCCACACTCCATACCTTTATCGGGAAGAATCCAGTGTCATACAAAATCTAAAATACTTAAAATGATCCTTATTTTCAACAAAATAATAGCACATGAAATGTCATAGTTTTAATTGTTTTTATCTTATAAATTGAATTTGAGCAAAACACAATATGGTTATCAGATGGGAGTCAAAATCAAACTGCAGCAGGTAATTCATTGGTACATAGTAGAACTCGGTAGAAATTTTCATGAAAATTGACTCATTCCTTGAACAATTATTTCACAGAAACCATTTGAATGGACAATGCCTACATCCCCCGACACCAAAGAAGAAATAATTCCTAGTATCTATCAAAGCTTCGCAGTAGGGCTGCGGCAATAAATTGTGTGACAATATATCGCAATATTTTTAATACGGTGCGATACACAACACATTTTGGGCGATCATGATACACCTAAGATATTTTCCAGGTTTTGTTGTTTCTAAATTTAGTCAACCCAGGCCATATACTTTACCAATCTCTACCCAGAGTTGCCATTCCTGACACTCACTCAATAGCTAGTGTAAGGAACACTCACAAATGTAAGGAACGACAACTCTCATTAGAGATTGATCTGTTACAAGATGGCCAGTGACAACTCCAGCATGGCATGCACATCGAAAGATGTGGATTGTGTAACACTTCAGTCATGACCATCCTGGACAAAATCTTTTTCCAGTTTTAATATTGCCATTAAAGATTTGCAACATATCTTTTTGCTTTGCTTCTACTGTTATAATTACTATATGTATTGTGATATGTATACATATCGTATCGTGACCACAGTAACCTGATAATATCGTATCGTGACCACAGTAACGTGATATGTATCGTATCGTGACCACAGCAACGTGATACGTATCATATCGTGACCACAGTAACGTGATAATATCGTATTGTGACCACAGTAACGTGATACAAATCGTATCGTTATGTTAATGTATCGTTGCAGCCTTACTTTGCAGGTGACATAAAAATGTTGAGTGTGAAAAGTTGGAAAGGACTTTGAATAGTCTCTTAATATACAAAAGCATAACTGACTGGTCTTAATGAAGTCATGTATATTATAACAGCATAATTCAAAATTTAAAACCTGCAATTACATGTCAAACATGTTAAAAGTTTATCTGTTTAAATGCTAACAAATAATTTATGAGTCATTGGTGTATATTAAAGTGTACTATTTTATTATTGCTATCATCACAAGTCATGCCGTCTGTATAATTGTGTATATGGCTAGCTACATTTTAGTTTTATTAGGCATGAATAACACAATCATTTGGATTCTGTTTACACATTAAAAGCTCAAATTAATATAAGTATTAATTGACAAATTCTTCTCCTGAACTGGCAAACTCTTCTCCTGAATGCAAATTCTCTCAGGCAATATGAACTGTATATAATTAATATAAGTGATTTGATTAATACACACATTATCTGCAATATGTTTCAAGGTAATTGTGCACAGCCTTGTGTGAGGTCAAAAGGTGGCAAACCTTATTTCTGTATTCAATACAATGCTAAAGGCCAAATTCAAAGCTACATGATGATTTATAATTAAATGACTAAAGAAATGTTGAAAAAAAAAAATCTTCTTTGGAAAATATTTACAAAGGTATAAAGGAAGCAGAACATTTTATTTGATACATTCAATTGTCTTCTTTCAATTTTGCATCTAACATTCTATTGACGTTGATTGATTTGGACACCAACACCATAGGGAATAAGGACGAATTTATAAGACTTCATTTACCATTCAGGTGCTTTGAAGTATATCAAACGAGTTTGCTTGTTGAAAGCTAGATCAAAGATATTTCTACACAAAATACCATTCACTTACCTATTACTGACAGAGTATGTTGTATTTGTTACATGGTTTTGAAAACTATAATGACCCCTTAGAAAAAGAAAAGAAAAAAAAAAAAGTTTGTGTGAACATTGATGATAGCCTCAATGATCAAATTTGACTCTTGACAATGGTCTATCCTGACTCAACTTTGACCCTTGACACTAGCCTACCCTGACTCAACTTTGACCCTTGACACTGGCCTACCCAGACTCTTTAACAATACAAATAACGACCTACTTTGTTAACCTTCAATCTTAGAGAGTGATCTAACTTGAATGTAACCTTTATTGTTTACTTGAATTTAATCTTTGACCTTAGACATTGAACTACCTTGTCTTTGTAACCTTTGACCTTTCACACTGACCTTCAATGACACTGTTATCTTTAAATATTCACCTACCTGGAATCTGTAGAGTAACAGCTTGCTGGAGTGTTAGCCTTCCTACCAGAATAATGTCGCGGCATGTTAGCAATGGACACACTGAAATGAGGCTCTATAGCATTCCAGGTAACACGACTGTTTTGTAGGTCATCCATAGCATCGTAATATGGACCTTCCTGTACGGCAGAGGAGTTACGTAGGATGGATGTTGGGGGTGGGGCAGGATGATCCACAGGGTAGAGGTCGGGAGTCTTGGTGATAGTACTAGATTGATGTGCATTTCTGTTCCCCATCATTTCCATGTAGTCCTCATTGTCAAAAAGATCCACCCCCTCCGTTACGTCCTCATATATCCCTAAATCATCATCCTCCGCCATCTGTTGACCTTGGTGTGAATGCCGCTTTTGTTGATTGCGAGGTGTCTTTTGTTTATTGTCACTCTTTCTTCTTGGTTTGGGTTTGCTTCCTATTGGTGCCACATGTTGGGAGTCACTTCCTATTGGTGCCACATGTTGGGAGTCACTTCCTATTAGTGCCACATGTTGGGAATCACTTCCTATTGGTGCCACATTTGAGGATTCACTTCCTGTTGGTTCCACATGTGGCCCAACATCCTGCATACCTCCGGGCTTATCCTTGATACTAATAGAATCATCCCTTACCTCCACATTGTTGAGATCACCAAGTTCCATTGTTTCTCCTAAATCCTCTTTCTGTACTTGCTCCAGTTTAGGACAACCTTCAGAGTGTGCAGAAAAGTTGTCTCCCCTTTTCTCACTTCCATCATCCTCATCCATTGCCTCTTCCCTGGTCTCTGTTAGAAAGGTGGAGGTTTTAGGTTCCGTGGGAACCATGGCTACCTTCTGTCCTCTCGTACTGTTAGCTGCCATGTCTTCCCGTTGATCCTGTGGAAAAAAAGAAACAAATGTTAATCACGATCAATAATATACATGTATATATGGCATGACCTACAACTCTTATTGGTCCAACTGTGAAAATCAACTCCCCTTCTTAATCTGATTTTCATCTTATTTTAAGTCATCAAATTTCCATATGATTGGTAATGATGTAGAATGAATATCACATTTTATATACTGTGTGCGGGTAACCTTTCACCAAATCAAACCTTCGCCCTTCACTGGTGAATCCATATTTGCCGGGAGTAAATTCTGTCCTTCACATGGAATTATCTATCATCACGGAGGGTGAAAATGGTGAAAGTGAAACTTCAATGAAAATTTCACAGTATACAGTATATGAATACACAACTGTAATAACTATATTAAACTTTATTAGAACCTGGAAACAAACAAAAATGAGTCAAAAAATGAACTAATATCCATAAATGAAATATATCCGATTCACATTGCAACTGAACCATGTTATTCTTATTTAGTAATATGTTCCCAATTAAGAATTTTAAAATTATTTCAGAAGAATATATAGGGTGGGCAGTTTTTATGAAAAATGGCAGAACTTTGCAAACATAAAAGTGATAATGAAGAAATTATAAATGCTTCTAAATAACTACCTTGCACACAGATAATGTACTTAGTTTCATTAAAATCTATGCAGAACTTCAGAAGAAGTCGTATGGACAAAAGTTTTGTCTATATAAATAGATCAATAGACAGATTGAACCTCATCGAAATCCAGATATTTAAGTTTTCTGAAAAGTCAAAGCCAATGATAACAAGCATTTCAAGATAAAAATAAGAACTGCTAGCTCAGTCAGATTAAAGTTTTCCCATTTTACTATTCCATGTGCAAATACACTTACCCGATATAATTCCCAACATGTTAAAGTAATATCAAATTTTGACTAGTCACTTGAATTGGGCTAGCAGTTTTAAGAACTACGTTACTAGTCCTGTAGGAGATTTCACTAGTCTCAGACTAGTGGCACCCCTTATTGTCTATAGCCTTGGGTCATGTAAAGAAAATAGCAAACAAGAGCAAAATTCAGTTTAACAATATGATCATTTTCCTTATAATCATAATGCAGATAAAACCTACTTAGTTATAATACACCTGTACCAGTAGGTAACGAAAAGTCTCAAAACATCTGGCTAGAAGATTACACTATCTCAGTCAATCTCTGTTATGTTAGTACTTACTGGAGATACCTTAGGTATAAAAAGTCACACCAGTGTCCGGTTAGACGCTGTAAACCCAGCTGTCCTTACCGAGTAAACTAACAGCATGGCAGCCTATTGACACTTCTGGTACTTACCTCCGAGCCCGTCTCTCACCGCGTACAACACTGCACAATAACGGGGTATGTTTACAGACCCATCAAGGGGCTAACAATGACAAACATCCCATCCACCTTCCACTTAAGGTCGACCATATCCAGTTTTTCAAAGATTTGTTAGATTAATTTGAACATATTTAAATTTAAAATTGTCATTTTTAAACAAATATTAAAAAAACAAAAGTGTTTTCATTTTCCTTACAATTAGCTGATCATTTTGAGCTCCTAAAGAGGCAACTTCAAGCGAAATTTTAGAAAATTCTTGAAATAAATTTAATAATTTCCCCTGAAATTTTCAATCAATCTGATCATGCTTTAACAGCTGGCTATAACCATAACGTCTGCCCCCAACAACACCTTACTATTCTTATATACATATATACTATACATGCCATTCACAATACCTGTACTCCCAACACCTGTCAAATAACGACTTTAATAGTCTGTTGTATTTGTTTTCCAAGATATACCATTTAGGTTTGATTTGAGAGATGAATTACAGATTAGGTGAGACAAGGCCATCATACGAGTCAGAGGTCATCCATATCTCCTTTCTGCCGTCAAAGAATTATTCACGCTTGTCGTCATATGACCCAGATATCAATGTCTTAAATTTCAGTATCCATTCAAAAAAGACCTGTATCTGTTTTTTAATTAGGCAGAAACAGATCTAGGATTAAGGCAGAAATAAGTATTTATCAAAATAAAATCATTATATGATACTCATATGATAAACAGAAATGTATATTTATCAAATTCAAATGTAAACAGAATATTTACTTTTAGGTCTACAAATAATTCATTGTTACTTATTAAATACAAAATAGCACTGGGTCACTACCAATCTTTTTTAACTTTGGTATACAATGACCTAATGTCTTTGGCAAACATGTCTGTACTTTTGCTTCAGTGTAAACAATACATACAAATACGTTTTTCTGACGACACCCTAACTATTTGAACTTGTGCCTTTTCAACAGCTTTTGTATATGTACACAATATCATCGTAAATATCCGATTTCTAAAACTACGTGATTTTTTCTTTCGTTCAAACATGATCTGATAATTAATCTTTCTTAAGCAACCGTCCATATGTAAAAGATATTTAAATATATTACAATCCATTACCATAACTGAAAAGGAATTGCCAATAGCCAGAAGAGTTTCTGTAATCATGCAGAAACACATCTATCTATATTCAATTTTACCTACTTATTTTTAAAAAGAATAATTTTCTTTTGGATGTCCGACATTGAAGCGATTGAACTTAAGCTTTTGTGGTGTTCTATACTGGAGGTTAAACACTGTGGAGTGACAAGAATGGTACCATGGCTTTTGGATGTTATGTTATATGCCTCGACAAAGCCTACTAAGGCTAACATGTTCAAAAACTAATTTCAAATCTGTTATTGAGATATTTTACGCATATAGTTTTACCATTTGATGTTTCTTGTAACCAGATGATAATCCTGAATCCATATACATTCAACTTTTTTTTTCATTTTTTTTAATATTTTTAATAATATATACATATACTGCATGAACGGTTTGTGTAAACTTCTCAATAAGCTGTCTATGCTTTGAACAATTTGGCCCTGAAGTGCACACAGCATTTCTGCTGGTTTGAAACATTCAGTGGCATTATATTTATATTTGTTTTGTCATTATGTTATGTTATAGCTTTATTTGTCTTTGTATTTATAGCAGGCTGTAGTGTTTTTGAACAGGTTTGACTAATGCATGTATAAATAAAACAAATTTTCTCTGGCAACAATTCCTTTGGGTTGCAATATTTGTACTCAAGTGACTGTGACAGCTTTGGGGTGACTCAAGACACTGGCACCCTCTATTATAAATGTTGTATTCAAGACTTCTACATATGGAGAGTACAGGTGTGCTGTCTTGATGATATGATACATATATCATCAAGTTTCTGTCAAGGTAAATAAAAATAAAGCAGGTAATATTGTTTCAAAGATAAAACATCTTCCAGAGTCATGTGTGTGACTCATGGGCCCTTTGCTTATTCCAGTGTCTACATTATTACGTGAAATGCGTCATCCTTTCCAATGGAAATCAGCCAGACTTCTGAAAATGCCTGTACTCATTTTCAAGGTTATGTGTGACTTGTCATTTTTGTCAGATTTATGTCCCCTTATTTACTTATTTATTAAATTAATCTTTATAATAATTCTGAACAAACTCAGTGTTAATAACTTATCAGTAAATATGCAATCTTATGTAATTTTATCAATTAATTAATCAAGTTCAAACTATTGACCATACATAACTAGATCTGTAAGCTTCAGGCCGCTGTTAGGAGGCATGGTAGTCTAGTGGTAGGACGCCCGGCTCGTGACCGAAGGGTTCCGGGTTCGTGTCACGGCATGGCACTGAGTTGTATCTTTGAGCAATATATTCTACTCTGCTTGTTCAAGTTTACTCAGGTGTAAATGAGTACATGGTTGCATTTGGGCAGTGCTAGAATTGTAGAATACTATAGCTAGCTGTGAGCAATGAAATGGCAGCACCAGCTGTATGCTCCCCAGGGAGTTGAAAGATATTGGCTGGTTGCAAAGGCCACACAGATAATAATTTGTGAACCGCTTTGAGACGACCTAGGCTGTGATCAAGCGGTTTATAATAACCTTGAATTATTATTATTTATTATTATGTAATTTAGTAACTATAATGCTGTTTATAATGAAAACAAATTGCATAATTAGCAACTACCTTATATACTGATATAGTGTTTTAAAGTTTTATTGATGTATAGGTAGTACTTAATGGAAAGTCATGCCAAAACATATCTCTACATTAAAGAGCATAAATCAGCAGGAGGTATCAAAATGAAAAATAAAATGCTTTCATTTAAAAGAGCATAGATCAGCAAGAGGTATCAAAATGAAAACAAATTGCATAATAATATACAAATGTTTCATTGAAATCTGTTTAGCACATTAGGAAAAGTAGCTCAGACAATCTTGTGTCTATAAACAGAATAATGGATGTAAATGTAGAGACACCCAGAGTTGCAGCATAAAGCAAATTTTACAGAGTTCACTTTAACATGGAACTCTATTGAAAAAGAGGAACAATGTGTCATAGTAAGGTAACATACAGCCTTAACTATAATGTAAGGTATGAATAAGTAAGGGTTTCAGTTACAAATGTAAAATTGAAATAGCCTACAAACACATCAAAAATCAAGAGATTTGAATGGCCAAACAAAAATCATGTTTCCTTCTCATTACATGTCTGTAAAATTTGGGGTAAATTTAATTTTTCATTTTTATTTTACAATTAGGTTTATAAAGGAGAGTGATCTTGACAGAAACAGTGCTTCCTTAAAAATTGTATAAGGTAGGCACAAAAAAAAATCAGGTAGGTAGGGTAACCGAAAAAAATAAATACCTGGTATATTCTTTTGGCCTAGAGTAGAAATATATCATAGGCCAAAGTCCCACTTAGTACACACATTTAGATGTGTCTGCCTGATCCTCAATTTGGTGAAAAATTACAGACTCCTAGACTGTACTTCGATATTATTAATTCACTTACATATGAATTTGATTAGAAATTAATAACTTTAAACCTAAATAGGAATAGGCAATAATCACTTAATTTGTCAATACCAAATATTTGTCAGAC